CCCATCCAACAGTTGACAACCCAGCACATCCTGTTGGTCACTCAGGTGGAACCCATCCAACACTTGACACAACCCAAGCACATCCTGTTGGTCACTCAGGTGGAACCCATCCAACACATGACACAACCCAAGCACATCCTGTTGGTCACTCAGGTGGAACCCATCCAACACATGACACAACGCAAGCACATCCTGTTGGTCACTCAGGTGGAACCCATCCAACACATGACACAACCCAAGCACATCCTGTTGGTCACTCAGGTGGAACCCATCCAACACATGACACAACCCAAGCACATCCTGTTGGTCACTCAGGTGGAACCCATCCAACACATGACACAACGCAAGCCCACCCTGTTGGTCACTCAGGTGGAACCCATCCAACAGTTGACAACCCAGCACATCCTGTTGGTCACTCAGGTGGAACCCATCCAACACATGACACAACCCAAGCACATCCTGTTGGTCACTCAGGTGGAACCCATCCAACACTTGACACAACGCAGCACATCCTGTTGGTCACTCAGGTGGGAACCCATCCAACACATGACACAACGCCAAGCCCACCCTGTTGGTCACTCAGGTGGAACCCATCCAACACATGACACAACCTCAAGCCTACCCTGTTGGTCACTCAGGGTGGAACCCATCCAACACTTGACACAACCCAGCACATCCTGTTGGTCACTCAGGTGGAACCCATCCAACACATGACACAACGCAAGCCCACCCTGTTGGTCACTCAGGTGGAACCCATCCAACAGTTGACAACCCAGCACATCCTGTTGGTCACTCAGGTGGAACCCATCCAACACATGACACAACCCAAGCATATCCTGTTGGTCACTCAGGTGGAACCCATCCAACACATGACACAACCCAAGCACATCCTGTTGGTCACTCAGGTGGAACCCATCCAACACATGACACAACCCAAGCACATCCTGTTGGTCACTCAGGTGGAACCCATCCAACACATGACACAACCCAGCACATCCTGTTGGTCACTCAGGTGGAACCCATCCAACACTTGACACAACGCAAGCACATCCTGTTGGTCACTCAGGTGGAACCCATCCAACACATGACACAACACTAGCAGCCCACCCTGTTGGTCACTCAGGTGGAACCCATCCAACAGTTGACAACCCAGCACATCCTGTTGGTCACTCAGGTGGAACCCATCCAACACATGACACAACCCAAGCACATCCTGTTGGTCACTCAGGTGGAACCCATCCAACACATGACACAACCTAAGCACATCCTGTTGGTCACTCAGGTGGAACCCATCCAACACATGACACAACGCAAGCACATCCTGTTGGTCACTCAGGTGGAACCCATCCAACACATGACACAACCCAAGCACATCCTGTTGGTCACTCAGGTGGAACCCATCCAACACATGACACAACGCAAGCACATCCTGTTGGTCACTCAGGTGGAACCCATCCAACACATGACACAACGCAAAGCCCACCCTGTTGGTCACTCAGGTGGAACCCATCCAACAGTTGACAACCCAGCACATCCTGTTGGTCACTCAGGTGGAACCCATCCAACACATGACACAACCCAAGCACATCCTGTTGGTCACTCAGGTGGAACCCATCCAACACATGACACAACGCAAGCACATCCTGTTGGTCACTCAGGTGGAACCCATCCAACACATGACACAACGCAAGCCCACCCTGTTGGTCACTCAGGTGGAACCCATCCAACAGTTGACAACCCAGCACATCCTGTTGGTCACTCAGGTGGAACCCATCCAACACATGACACAACCCAAGCACATCCTGTTGGTCACTCAGGTGGAACCCATCCAACACATGACACAACCCAAGCACATCCTGTTGGTCACTCAGGTGGAACCCATCCAACACATGACACAACCCAAGCACATCCTGTTGGTCACTCAGGTGGAACCCATCCAACACATGACACAACCCAGCACATCCTGTTGGTCACTCAGGTGGAACCCATCCAACACATGACACAACCCAAGCACATCCTGTTGGTCACTCAGGTGGAACCCATCCAACACATGACACAACCCAAGCACATCCTGTTGGTCACTCAGGTGGAACCCATCCAACACATGACACAACCCAAGCACATCCTGTTGGTCACTCAGGTGGAACCCATCCAACACTTGACACAACCCAAGCACATCCTGTTGGTCACTCAGGTGGAACCCATCCAACACATGACACAACCCAAGCACATCCTGTTGGTCACTCAGGTGGAACCCATCCAACACATGACACAACCCAAGCACATCCTGTTGGTCACTCAGGTGGAACCCATCCAACACATGACACAACCAAGCCCATCCTGTTGGTCACTCAGGTGGAACCCATCCAACACTTGACACAACCCAGCACATCCTGTTGGTCACTCAGGTGGAACCCATCCAACACTTGACACAACCCAAGCACATCCTGTTGGTCACTCAGGTGGAACCCATCCAACACATGACACAACCCAAGCACATCCTGTTGGTCACTCAGGTGGAACCCATCCAACACATGACACAACCCAAGCACATCCTGTTGGTCACTCAGGTGGAACCCATCCAACACATGACACAACCCAAGCACATCCTGTTGGTCACTCAGGTGGAACCCATCCAACACATGACACAACCCAAGCACATCCTGTTGGTCACTCAGGTGGAACCCATCCAACACATGACACAACCCAAGCCCATCCTGTTGGTCACTCAGGTGGAACCCATCCAACACATGACACAACCCAAGCACATCCTGTTGGTCACTCAGGTGGAACCCATCCAACACATGACACAACCCAAGCACATCCTGTTGGTCACTCAGGTGGAACCCATCCAACACTTGACACAACGCAAGCACATCCTGTTGGTCACTCAGGTGGAACCCATCCAACACATGACACAACCCAAGCCCATCCTGTTGGTCACTCAGGTGGAACCCATCCAACACATGACACAACCCAAGCTCCATCCTGTTGGTCACTCCAGGTGGAACCCATCCAACACTTGACACAACCCAAGCACATCCTGTTGGTCACTCAGGTGGAACCCATCCAACACATGACACAACCCAAAGCCCATCCTGTTGGTCACTCAGGTGGAACCATCCAACAGTTGACAACCCAGCACATCCTGTTGGTCACTCAGGTGGAACCCATCCAACACATGACACAACCCAAGCACATCCTGTTGGTCACTCAGGTGGAACCCATCCAACACATGACACAACCAAATCCCATCCTGTTGGTCACTCAGGTGGAACCCATCCAACACATGACACAACCCAAGCACATCCTGTTGGTCACTCAGGTGGAACCCATCCAACACATGACACAACCCAAGCACATCCTGTTGGTCACTCAGGTGGAACCCATCCAACACATGACACAACCCAAGCACATCCTGTTGGTCACTCAGGTGGAACCCATCCAACACATGACACAACCAAGCACATCCTGTTGGTCACTCAGGTGGAACCCATCCAACACACATGACACAACCCAAGCACATCCTGTTGGTCACTCAGGTGGAACCCATCCAACACATGACACAACCCAAGCACATCCTGTTGGTCACTCAGGTGGAACCCATCCAACACATGACACAACCCAAGCACATCCTGTTGGTCACTCAGGTGGAACCCATCCAACACATGACACAACCCAAGCACATCCTGTTGGTCACTCAGGTGGAACCCATCCAACACATGACACAACCCAAGCACATCCTGTTGGTCACTCAGGTGGAACCCATCCAACACATGACACAACCCAAGCACATCCTGTTGGTCACTCAGGTGGAACCCATCCAACACATGACACAACCCAAGCACATCCTGTTGGTCACTCAGGTGGAACCCATCCAACACATGACACAACGCCAAGCCCATCCTGTTGGTCACTCAGGTGGAACCCATCCAACAGTTGACAAACCCAGCACATCCTGTTGGTCACTCAGGTGGAACCCATCCAACACTTGACACAACTCAAAGCACATCCTGTTGGTCACTCCAGGTGGAACCCATCCAACACATGACACAAACCAAGCACATCCTGTTGGTCACTCAGGTGGAACCCATCCAACACATGACACAACGCAAGCACATCCTGTTGGTCACTCAGGTGGAACCCATCCAACACATGACACAACGCAAGCCCACCCTGTTGGTCACTCAGGTGGAACCCATCCAACAGTTGACAACCCAAGCACATCCTGTTGGTCACTCAGGTGGAACCCATCCAACACATGACACAACCCAAGCACATCCTGTTGGTCACTCAGGTGGAACCCATCCAACACATGACACAACGCAAGCACATCCTGTTGGTCACTCAGGTGGAACCCATCCAACACATGACACAACCCAAGCACATCCTGTTGGTCACTCAGGTGGAACCCATCCAACACATGACACAACGCAAGCACATCCTGTTGGTCACTCAGGTGGAACCCATCCAACACATGACACAACCCAAGCACATCCTGTTGGTCACTCAGGTGGAACCCATCCAACACATGACACAACCCAAGCCCATCCTGTTGGTCACTCAGGTGGAACCCATCCAACAGTTGACACAACCCAGCACATCCTGTTGGTCACTCAGGTGGAACCCATCCAACACATGACACAACCCAAGCACATCCTGTTGGTCACTCAGGTGGAACCCATCCAACACTTGACACAACCCAAGCACATCCTGTTGGTCACTCAGGTGGAACCCATCCAACACTTGACACAACGCCAAGCACATCCTGTTGGTCACTCAGGTGGAACCCATCCAACACATGACACAACCCAAGCCCACCCTGTTGGTCACTCAGGTGGAACCCATCCAACACTTGCATTTAAAAGAAGGTTGACTCATGTTTACATGCTTTTGCTGAATTTTCATCAAATTAATAATTGATGTTATTACATTGATGTTTTAGTGTAGCATGTAGAATGTGTATGGTAATATGCAAGTTGTTTCCTATTTTCTTCCAGTCCAGAGAGTCAAGGAAGAAAAACTCAATCTTGTCTGCATTCCAACCTCATTCCAGGTACTTAACTTGTCCTCAAATATCATCCTTCACCCAAATGATATCTGTCCGCCATGTTTGATTGTGTAGCTCATAAGCTCTTCATTATTTCACTATGAACCTTTTAATACAGGTCAGGTATGACTGTAGTCATGTCTTTGGCTATTTACCATGATTTAGGGAGATGTGGAGTATTACAGAACAAGCAGCTATACCAGGTTACTTAACAAAGTTTTCTTTCCATATATTTTTCTCAACTTGCTGGTCGTGAAAGCTTTTTCTATGCCCATAGCTTGAGAGCAAACATTCTTCTTCCAGTGAAATACTAATTTTATTTTGGAAATATGAATTGAAACATGAAGAAAAGAGAAAAAGGAAAAAGACAAACAAGGAGCATGACATATGACACATAATGCTTGTATGGAGGACGAGAGGGCTGAGCCAACAGGTCTGGCCTGAACTGGGATATGTCTGTCTAAAACTAACATTATTTCTATCTTTGTATGTTACACAGTTACAGACCATAAGGCAAGGTTTAGTTGGCTATGTGTGTTGTACACTACAAACAACAATACCCCATCACAAGCTCTTCCTATACGGAGCAAATCTAATTAGCTTCAAAATCACAAAAGGAATGAAACGAATCTGGTCACTTGTTTGGAATAGTGGACCATAGTTTGTGTCAGTTTTAGTTTGTTTGACTTTCATTGTTTTGACGTCTATCCATTGTTTACAAATACTTCCTGAAATTGTCAGCTTATACAGACATATTAATTCCATACATGTTACAAATACTTCCTGAAATTGTCAGCTTATACAGACATATTAATTCCATACATGTTGCAAATACTTCCTGAAATTGTCAGCTTATACAGACATATGAATTCCATACATATTGCAAATACTGGACGACTGATCAGGCAAATCACCTAAACCTGTTACTGAACTTTACATCATATGAAACATGATGAGATGAGATTATTCCCTCTATAGTAGTTCTGTTAGAAGAGATACCAAGCAACTTTTGGTGGTCATAAGACAACATAATAGATAACGTTAATAGATGCCATGAATATTTGCTCAAGTAGATCCCTAGATGGCCTACTCATCATGATATGGTTTGAGGATATGCTCAGTGTGGTGTTGAATAAAAAACGTTTGTCTGTAACATGGTGGACTATAAAGTCGACTGTTTGATTGTAGGCTAAGCAGCTGATACAGGAACATAACCTGACGCTGGGGAGCTTGGAGAGAAATCCAGAGGTGAGACAGAGAAACAGTCAAACGGAAATCAATCTTCAAACTAATTTTGAGTTGCATGTCTAGAAACAAGCATAAACTACTCAGAAAACAAATTGCAGCATCACCTGTGTGTCCTTTCCTCCAGGGGCGGTGAGATAGCCTAGTGGTTAAAGTGTTCGCTCGTCACGCCAAAGGCCAAGGTTCGATTCCCCGCATGGGTACAATATGTGAAGCCCATTTCTGGTGTCCCTTGCCGTGACATTGCTGGGATATTACTAGTGGTGTTCCGATGATCGAAAATAATTGTAAATCAATCGAAAGAAGGATTAAAAATGATTATCGATTGTAAAAAAACATATTTTCGATTAATTGGAATTTTGTTGTTTTAGTTTAACACACGTTGAATGAAGTAAACTAGCAATTAAATTTGACGAATATTCACGAACAAACATGCGCTCAACAGCGTAAAGCTGTGCGCATTGTAAAATTTTAACCACTTTTATTGTTTAATTACAATTCCAGTGTCTTTCTTGCATCTGTGCATTTCATTGCATGACAGTATTAGTTATAAGGAACATTTATTAGAAAAAACCTGGTGAAAAACCCTTCAAATTGGTGATTTCATTAAAAATGTATATATTTCGATTATAATCGATAATCGTTCACCACAATCCTCCGATAATCGATAGTGGATTTGGTTTCCGATTCCCAACACTAGATATTACTAAAAACAGCGTGAAACTAAACTCACTCATTTTTAAAACAGGAAACAACATGAAAAGCGGCATAAAACCCAACTCACTCACTCACTCCTTTCTTCCTTGTATATAGAATTGGGGCAGTGTGGTTTAAGTGTCTGCTTGTCATGCCAAAGACTTGAGTTCAATTCCCCACTTGGGTACAATGTGTGAAGCCCATTTGCTGATGTCCCCTGCTGTGATATTGCTTAAATATTGCTAAAAGCAACACTAAACCCAACTCACTCACTCACTCACTCACTCACTCACTCACTCACTCACTCACTCACTCACCCACTCACCCACTCACCCACCCACCCACTCACTCACTCACTCACTCACTGTTGATTTATTTTTATTGGTTAAATACAGGCAGGAATACAAGAAGCCATTGTAGTCAGTGTGTTACACGTTGATACTGAATGTGAGGCGTCCAGCTGTTGTCATCGTATAAAGCCACATTTGACACACTTAAAGTAACACATGAATAGACGCTGGGATTTCCTTATGTAAATCATAAATCGTATACAATGCACATGCTTTACATGGAGAATAACTGACAGTTTGTTCACTGGCATGAAATAAACTCCACAAATAACGTATTAGTACATTGTACAAACCTGCGAGGTGGTAATAAATTTAGATCCTCTTTAGATGCATATTTGGCTTCATGCCAGGGCTGTAATGTTCATAGATATGCCTGTTCCTTCTTTTTGTATTTGTAAGTGAATTTAGAGTTATTGTAATTTGTCTTGTTTGATTATCATTTTTAAATTATTTTAGGAATTGTTTAGCCAGTTCATCAAAACATATAACACATTATGATGCAAAACGAAGGCTAACGTGTTGCAGTCAAACACAGACATTGTCCCTACATTATAACTGGAACCATTAAGGTATACCATTATGCATCATTCTATAAGGAACATCGAACATACATAGTAGATTTTATGAAGGGAAATATAATTGGTGTAACTGCCAACTTGTGGGAGTGGTAATGTGGTCATGACATCAAGTAGAGTGAGCTACTGTCGGTTGCGATTGCCTCCATGATTGACATGTGTCTGTTTCATACAGCTGGATGTTGCCATCGATGGAGCGGACGAGGCTGATGCCAACCTGGACCTGATAAAGGGGGGCGGAGGCTGCCTCACCCAGGAGAAGATCGTGGCGTCCTGCGCCCGTGACTTCATCGTTATAGCTGATTCCAGGTAAAGTCAGACATTGTTTTGTTTTTTTATGTGGTGATTCCAGGAAGTAGCTAAAAAATCTATAACACGGAGGACCCATGAAGATCTAGGTTAGAATTGATCTTCAGTAACCCATGCTTGTCGTAAGGCGCCACTAATGGGATCGGGTGGTCAGGCTCTCTAACTTGGTTGACACATGTATCCCAACTCCGTAGATCGATGCTCATGATGTTGATCACTGGATTGTATGGTCCAGATTCTATTATTCACAGACCACTGCCATATAGCCAGAATATTGCTAACTGCAGCATGAAAACCACCTACAAACAAACAGTACATCATTGTGTTGTTGGTATTCTTAATGATGTTGTTGTAGGACTTTACTCTGTGTGACCTTGATTATTGTGTTTCATCATGTTCATAGCACACCATTTATTCCTTCATAGCCTAGTGTTTACTGTTTTCCATGACTAATCGATGGTGTGTTTTGTAACTATGCTGTGAGTCACTGTTGTGATTTGCCGCAACTCTATTAGTCTGGACAAATAGAACATTTTCTCAAGCATCTACATGTCACTTTAAATTGTGACAATTTTACTGCCCACTGAAAAAAATATTCAAATCTTTCCTGTTATATGAATTAGACAGTGTTAATTCTGACAAAGGCTTCACCCGAGGGGCACATGTTTATGACTTGTCATCACTGTTAAAAAGCTCCATTAGTTTGAAAGACTTTTTTACGAATGCTTCAAACTTCATGGTACTTGACTAGTATATGAGAAGTGGCTGGTGCAAGATTGGTAAAGCTTACAGCAGAGCTCCAGATAAGATTTAGCTCATGTAGGTACTGTACCCACTGTATTTTTTTGGAGTGGGTATTATGAATGTTGAGTGGGTATTTCATTTTCCGTTACCCACTGCTTTCAAATATATGGGTATTTCATTGAGTTTACTCACCTAAGTATATGTCATTGAGTAAGTTTACTAAGCAGGTATGTACTGCCTTATGTCATACTGAAGTAAAACCAACTTAAATATAATGGAAATGATTTCATACAAAATCCCTCATCCTATACTGACAGTACAACACTAGTCCTATACTAACAGTACAACTTGATACCAATCAATGTCCTTTTCATTACGCAAGTGATTTTTATAGACATATTCCTTACGCATATGTTTTAAACTCTGTGCTTATCTAACATTTTAAATGCGTAATTGGTACGCAACAATTATTTTTCAATGCGTAATTGGAAATTTTCTGTGCCTATTTTACCCAAATACGCAGCTTATCTGGGCCTCTGCTTACAGCCATTGTATATTGTACTTTCTGTTGAATCTGCCTCATTCAGGAAAGATGTTGACAAGCTTGGGACCACATGGAAGCGAGGTGTCTCCATTGAAGTCATTCCACTTGCCTACAAGCCGATCAAGTTGAAGATTGAAAAACAGCTGGGTGGACTTGCTAACCTAAGGATGGCGACAAAGAAAGCGGTGAGTTTTTAGACATACAATTTGGAAGACTGGCTAACTATAAAGTAGTGATGCAGAAAGTGGTTAGTCATTGAACACAGCCTGCAGGACTGGTTAACCAAAAGTTGGTGCCGAAAACAAACAGTTAAAACCATAGGATGGCGACAAAGAAAACTTTGAGTTGTTTGATGCACAACTTAGGTGACAGGCAGACTGACTAACCGTGGCATGGTCATGACATTGTTGAGTTGATCCGGCTGGCAAAAACAGGATGTACAGAAAGGAGGTCACTTTGACACAAAACTGACACAATTATGGGATCGTGTTAACAGTCTTCATAGTGAAGTAAAGCAATGGCGATTTGTCAGGATCAGATATGAAAATGAGTTATTTGGTTAGAAAAGTTTTGAAATCATTGCAACAGCCTACATTTATGATTGTGATGATTGTACAGTCAAAACATATATACAACAGGAGGTTCGAATGACTAAGTTGTTTGTGAAGTTAAGCTATGATATTTGCCTTGTCTGTCTTTATAATTCCAGTACAGGATCTACCAGACAAGAACCTGACAGTCGTCAGTAGCTAAACAGCTAAAATTTTGTTATGTTTGGTTTCCTGATGTTTGAGGCCTTAATTCACAGAAAGAAGTCTTATATTTCTTTGCCAACATGTTTATATCTATATATACAAATCTCAGTTGAATTGGAGCCACTGAAGTAATCAACAAAATATATTAATGTAAAGAAATATATCATACAAAATAAATAGATGTACCGCTAATGAGATATTAAACAGAAGCTATAGATGTAATGACATAAATATTACAACATAAATAGAAATAATGATGCAAATCTTGCAGAAATAATAGATATAACCAAACAAATATAAAAAAAATATTCCATTGAAAAATTGTATGAATTATTCCAACTATGGTGTCACTTCAGACATTTTGAGGTACATTTTAATGAAATTTGACATTATACAGTGGTTTTCTGGCAATGAATTTCATTTGTTGTTATGGAATGTAATAAATATTACAACCACTGTATTCGTTAAAAATATTTGTATTTGTTACTCTATATTCATGATACATATTGGATTCCCCTCATAGTGTATAAGTAGCTGCCCTAATTGGATGGTGTATATCTGTGATTCAATATCATATTGAGTAGTGTGGTGATACCTGAGAATTTGGCTAAACAAGAACTTTATAATGAATAAATTTTGAACAGAATAAAGGATTCTGACACGGAGTATTTGAGAAAGTCTGCGTGTATAGATCGGTTCATGAACACAGTGGGATGCTGTATGCTGTTCCAGATGTTGCTCAAGGACAGGGTTATATCACACGATGTGATGAAACAGATGAAGCTGTTGAAGGGGTGCTCATGTTACTGTGGCCATGGAACAGTTGAAAAATGTGTCCTTAAATAATCAATTTTGGTTTCAGTATATCCATATGTGTAGGTTGCTTTTAATAAGATAAAACATGTCTTGTCAGAAAATTTGTACAGGATATAATTTTTTAAAATGAATATTTTTTTATTGAAAATTGAGCATTCGATGCCTTGAGGTATAATTTATTTTCTCGCCATTTACTGTGCATGGTGACAGTATCTCACAACTCATGAAGTTTAATTTCTTGGGAACCGAATTTATGCCCAACATTTTGACAATTGTCATATTTTGTGGTTTATGTAAGTGTAAACACTGAAAATTTCATTGAGTAGATTTACTTAAAGTGTGGATGTTTTTTCGTGTGGTGATTATGCAGACACCAGTCATTTCAGGCATATCAGTGGCAAACACTTGTTATGATTATAATTCCATAAAACATATTGAAGATGGGTCATTGATGTCAACAGTCATACCCTTCACTAACTGCTTACTTTATCATTGGGGGCGGTGGGGTAGTCTAGTGTTAAAGCGTTTGCTCGTCACGCCGAAGACCCGGGTTCGAATCCCCACATGGGTACAATGAGTGAAGCCCATTTCTGGTGTCCCCTGCCGTGATATACCTGGAATATTGCTAAAAGTGGCGTAAACCCAAACTCAGTCAGTACTTTATCATTGACACACATATGGTCTGTAAACAACAATATAAAATCTTTACATCATTCATGTTTAAAGGGGCTGTGGGGTAGCCTAGTGGTTAAAGCATTTGCTCGCCCCAATGAAGACCTGGGTTTGATGCTCCACACGGGTGCAATATGTGAAGCCCATTTCTGGGGTCCCTCGTCATGATATAGCTGGAATATTCCTAGAAAACGGCGTGAAACTAAACTCACTCATTTTTAAAACAGGAAACATCATGAAAAAGATTCTTTGAGCGGCAGTTAGAAGTTGGGGCACTAAGGAAGGATAACAATATATGGATGAACAACGTCTTTCTAACAGTGTGAACGTTGTTTCGGTGTAGGTTCTAATACCGTTATCAAGCAAGTGAAACATGAAAAAAAAAAAGGATTTCAGTGTTAGGTTCATCCTGATATTTTTCTACAGGGACCAGTCGTGACAGACAATGGCAACTTGATCCTGGACTGGGTTTTTGAAGAAACAAAGACTTATGACTGGGAAAAGGTCAACTTCACCATCACATCTATTCCAGGTAAGTCTTGTCTATTACTTCAATATTCAAACCGAAAGAAACCTGGTTCTTGGTTTTCAAAAGATTTTCATCAAAGGCCTGCAGGTGGTCAGACTTGGCTGATACATGTCATTGTGACCTTATCGAGGAGTCGATGTTCATGATGTTAATCACTGGACTGACTCATCCAGACTCAATAGTATTGCAGACTACCATCATACAGCTGGAATATTGCTGAGTGCAGCATATAAACAATTCTGAAAGTCACTGGTTGAAAAATAGTTATATTTTTCAGTTGCTTTTGTATGCTGATGTGAAATGAAAGGTTGGTTCGTATTTTGTTTAACACAGCACTCAGCAACATTTGAGCTATATGACGACGATCTGTAAATAATCATGTCTGGACCAGACAATCCTGTGATTAATAGCATGAGCATCGATCTACACACTTGGGATACGATGACATGTGTCAACCCAGTTAACGACCCTGACCACCCATCCCATTGGTCGCCTCTTACAACAAGCATGGGTTACTGAAGATCAATTCTAATCGGATCTTCATGTTGGTGTACTGTGTCAGTGTTGTGTCTCTTGTTGCAGGAGTCGTTGAGACCGGTCTCTTCATCAAGATGGCCAAGATGGTATACTTCGGCACCACAGACGGAAAGGTGAAGACAAGGTCCGCACCGTGGTTGACACCAGAGACACAACCATTAGCTCACAAGGTGAGGCCACACTCTTTACTGCAGCCATCCTCTCAACATAATGTCACCATGAGTTGTCCAGGGAAAGAATAGAGTGAGAGTACTCCATGCTTGTCTTTCTGTGAGGATCCAAGGAAGAGTAAACGCCAGTTTTCAATATTACATGCATCTGGGAGTCTGTAACGCTTGCTCCTGTATTTCAATGAATCTCAGGGGCAGTGGGGTAGCCTAGTGGTTAAAGCGTTCGCTCGTCACGCCGAAGACCCGGGTTCAATTCCCCACATGGGTACAATGTGTGAGGCTTATTTGTGGTGTCCCCTGTCGTGATATTGGTAAAAGCGGTGTAAAACCATACTCACTCACTCAATGAATCTCAGGCCCTCCTCAATATGTGATAATCTTTATGGTTGTAACAAACTCAAAGGGACCTCTAATTGTAGTTCATTATAACCATAGTCCGTTATACACAATTTGTCTGAAATACACAGCAAGTGGCCGGCACAAAACCAGTTCATTATATCCATCAGTCCGTTATATCCATCAGTCCGTTATATCCATCAGCCCGTTATATCCATCAGTTTGTTATAACCATTAGTTTGTTATAACCATCAGTTTGTTATGTCATCAGTCCATTATATCCATGTTATATCCATCAGTCTGTTATATCCATCAGTCCGTTATATCCATGCTATATCCACCAGTCTGTTATATCCATCAGCCCTTTATATCCATCAGTCTGTTATAAGGGTGCACATTATAAACAGTCAGAGGAGGATCAGTAAATCCAAGACTCTCAAGCCATCCTAAATAAACAATAATTCATATTTAGGGTATTTTTCCATTTTCATATTATTTTAGTCAGAGTATCATCTTTAACCAAGGCCGTTATATCAATTGGTGTGCACCTACAGGCCGACAAACATTGTGAACAAAACACACATTTCAATCTATCAGTTCATTATAAGCATGTTTGTTATAAACATAGTCAGAGGATCAGTAAGGCCATTACTCTCAGGTCCTCCTTAATAACTGATGATTTATGTGTATGATTTTTATCCCCCTCAACGCGTTTTTCGGGGGGTATTAAAATGGACTCTGTCCGTGCGTCCGTCCGACCGTCCGTTCGCCGTGCACGTTTGTCTTTTCCGGAGCAGAACTCTAAAACCGTTCAATATTTCTTCACCAAACTTGGCACATACATGGATCTGGTGGTGTACTGGTGCCTTTTGGTAGTTTTGGAATTCTGAATTAAATATTTTTGGCGTTTCCATGGCAACGAGTTCGACTTTGACTGAAATTGGTGGTAGTGCTCTTTTCTGGGGCAGAACTCTAAAACCGTTCATTATTTCATCACAAAACTTGGCACATAGATAGATCTGATGGTGTACTGGTGCCTTTTGGTAGTTTTGGAATTCTGAAAAAAATATTTTTGGCGTTTCCATGGCAACAAGTTTGACTTAGCCTGAAATTGTGGTAGTGCTCTTTTCCGGAGCTGAACTCTAAAACTGTTCGATATTTCTTCACCAAACTTGGCACATAGATAGATCTGGTGGTGTACTGGTGCCTTTTGGTAGTTTTGGAATTCTGAATTAAATATTTTTGGCGTTTCCATGGCAACAAGTTCGACTTTGACTGAAATTGGTGGTAGTGCTCTTTTCTGGGGCAGAACTCTAAAACCGTTCATTATTTCATCACAAAACTTTGCACATAGATAGATCTGGTGGTGTACTGGTGCCTTTTGGTAGTTTTGGAATTCTGAATTAAATATTTTTGGCGTTTCCATGGCAACAAGTTCGACTTTGACTGAAATTGGTGGTAGTGCTCTTTTCTGGGGCAGAACTCTAAAACCGTTCATTATTTCATCACAAAACTTGGCACATAGATAGATCTGGTGGTGTACTGGTGCCTTTTGGTAGTTTTGGAATTCTGAATAAAACATTTTTGGCGTTTCTATGGCAACAAGTTCGACTTTGACTGAAATTGTGGTAGTGCTCTTTTCCGGAGCAGAACTCTAAAACCATTCACTATTTCTTCACCAAACTTGGCACATAGATAGATCTGGTGGTCTACTGGTGCCTTTTGGTTGTTTTGGAATTCTGAATAAAATATTTTTGGCGTTTCCATGGCAACAAGTTTGACTTAGCCTGAAATTGTGGTAGTGCTCTTTTCCGGAGCTGAACTCTAAAACTGTTCGATATTTCTTCACCAAACTTGGCACATAGATAGATCTGGTGGTGTACTGGTGCCTTTTGGTAGTTTTGGAATTCTGAATAAAATATTTTTGTCATTTCCATGGCAACAAGTTTGACTTAGACTGAAATTGGTGATAGTGCTCCTTTCTGGAGCAGAACTTTCAAAACCTTTCAATACTCTCCTTCCACTTTTCTATATACACACCTAAATATTTGACATAATCATAACTCATAGACATAATCATGAAGAGTATTTTGCCATTGCGGGGGATATTGATGACTTTGTCTTCTTGTTTAATTTAATAATTTATTTTCAATTTTCATAGTATTTTAAGTCAGAGGTTCTTTAAAAAGAGCCATATTATCAGTGGGTGGGCACTTGCAGGCCCAGCAAACATTATGGATAGTTTTCACTTACTCGTTCTTTTCTGTTTGCAGACTGAAGCCAATGGAAGAAGCAAGTGATGCAGAGGAGCTTGTTCATCACCTGATTTTATTGCTCATACATGCTACACAGAACTCATCGCTACGGAAACATCTTGCCAATCATTAGCTAGTTTACAGTTATGTACCTGCTCAAACACATGCAAGGTTGTTCATAAGTGTAGATTGTCCACATATTGGTGTTAAAACATAATGTCAGTTGCCAGGGTTGACTTAAAGCATGCTCTGGTCAAGTTCCTAGACTTTTGAAAATACACGGTATAGTACAAACAGAAATGTTTTTGAAATAAACAAGCTTCAATTAAAGACAACAGATTAAAATTCCGGGCAAGGCCACCCATGTGTAAAACAAGGAACACATTGGTCTGCACCCTATTGACAAGGTGATTGCAGCACTATGACCAGCCTAAGTCTATGATAAAGTATTATTATTACCTAAGCATTACAATCTCTCTTAGAAGAGAACCCTGGCCTTTTTCAACAAGTTTCATGAATGTTTTAGAGTCTGTAAACATGGTAATCATTGCTCATGATGTGTCTATAATATTTTCTTTTAAGTGCCTTCATTCACTCACATCACGCTACTCCTCACGGGGCGGTGGGGTAGCCTAGTGGTTAAAGCATTTGCTCGTCACGCTGAAGACCTGGGTTTGATTCCCCACATGGGTACAATGTGTGAAGCCTATTTCTGGTGACCCCTGCCATGATATTGCTAGAGTATTGCTAAAGGCAGCATAAAACTATACTCACTCACTCACTCACTACTCATCATGCTTTGAAGCATCTTATATATGCAAGTATCATCCTGAGCTATTCATCCACGCTTGTAGCCATCCATCATCTCATATTGTACACCAGTGCAATAATGTCATGTACACAGTATTTGCATTATTAATAGTGGTTTTATATGAACTCCACCATTAGTATTGTCATGTAGGATGACCTGTTCCTGATTTGTTGCTTTGCTGGCTGTACAGGGTTATGTCCCTTAGATGCAATGATCTAGTTGTTTAATCCAGATTTGTTCTGATTATGATCCTTGATCTGTCATTCCATACAGAAATCCATCTCCACTTTCTTACACTTACATAAATCTGCATAAACATTGGTGATTGGTAGCACTGTGGTAAGTGTGTTTGCTCACATCAGGCCTGTTTGGTCCTGTTATGGTATCTTCATCATGTCACTGCACGTGTTGCTGGTGTTGATCTTGTTGATCAGGATCTGCTGATATCAGGGATACATGCACAGACCTTCATTGTTTTGTAGGTACATTAATCCATCGAGGTTTGTCATTGGTAATGAGTTCGAGATTTCACAGTATCGTTTCGAGAATTGTATTGTTGAGTTAAACATGACATGACAATATTTCAGATATTGAAATGCCTCCATGTCAGTTTGTATCAGTCCTGTACATTACACAACTCTGGCCTTAAGGTCAATAGTACTGATGGAAAGAGTTGACATTGTCAGCTTAACTATTCACTAATAAAATACATAAACAAATTACAAGTCAAGACATTACAGGTTATTATTTGGGATTTATGTAGAGGGTAATGTCCGAGTAACTCTCCATTCCTTTAAAATAATGGAGCCGAGGCCCCAGAGGGGCTACAGCTTGCACTAAGTGCCCAGGGGGGGCCGAGGCCGAGGCACATTATTTTTAAGGAATGGAGAGTTACGAGGATATTACCCTACTTAAATTACATTCGAAGTATTGGGAATATTTCTGTTATCAAAATTAAAATGTCAAAATGACAAGATGAAGGTTTTATTTTGAAACTGGTACACATCGCTCAATCCCTGAAAAGTAATGGAGCGAACAGACAATGGAATGATGTCACAAATGTAATTTAACTACATTTGCAACCTGACTGGCAGGCACATTGGTGAATATATTGTGAAATTTTCTAAAGCTGGATTCTTTTACTGTTTGTAATTTGAAATTATGAGGCATTGGGAAATTTTTAGTACTAATTAGGAATTTTGGTTGTTATTTGCTGCAAGGTAAGAGATGAATATCAGCCTCTTAGGTGGTGTAGATAAATCCCTGTTATTGGTAGGAGAGCAGATAAGTTCCATACTTCCATTATCCGTACACCAACTAATGTTTGAAGCTATACTTTAATCAGGCCTCGATCGTCATCAGATTGTCAGTGGTGGTGGTGGTGTCCTCCACACATCAATTTGGTTGGCTCCCAAATAACGTTTTCGATAAGATTTGTTTTCTTCCTCAAAGAAATTTCTATATTTGTATATTTTAAGTAAACCAGCTAAAATGAATATCACACTGTACTAACAAGTGACTATTTGCTCATTCCAACTGTTTGTGTAGATTCCATGAAACCATCAGGGTTTTACAAGGTGTAATTTCTACATAATTAACAGAATGATTTTCTGAAATACTGGCAAAATTCTTGGATGCAAGTCATAACTGATGCAAAAAGTTGTTATGAAAATGTAAATACATTGGTCTAAGTATTTACAAGATATGTTTTTAGATACTAACTGCTACACCACTAGTTGTAATGATGCGAATCTACAAACTTTCAGAAGTACCGGTAAATCTTACTCAATAAACTGCCAGAAAATATAATCTTGGAATTTCTACTTTGTATTTGTCACTTGATCTTTTAACTGTATTGTGTAAAAGAAATCATGACGCTACTAAATTTTAAAATGCTATTCCCAACTGCTTGAATAAGATCTTTTATAAGAGTTAAATATGTTTTTCTCTACTGCCCGATAAAAACAAAAATAACATACATTTTGATTTTCATACATTTCTCAACTTATGAAAACATTTCAGACTATTTTGTGTTTGTGAAAAGTGTATCTGTATGTGTTGTATGAGGAGTGTTAGCAGAACTTCTCCTGTCTTACAATTTAACCCTTTTATGCACAACTTTTGTGGTCAACGTTATGGTTAATGGTAAAACTGTGTGCTGCCCAAGTTTCAGATGAGTCTTTATACCAAATATAAACCTGCCTTGCCTGTGTAGATGATGCGTAGTAAGTGTTAGCAATGAAGCTCAGGACAGTAGAGAATTAATATGTTGCAAGGATTGATAGGTTTTTGTTGTGTTTGATGATCTGAACAGAGATAGTTTAGTGCAATGCGATATTGTTTGATGTATGTATTAACATGAATGATATAGCTTTACAAATGTCAAGGAACTGGTCATTTATAATTGGGGGATGGGGTGGTCAAGAAAATATGATACAGTCCTAAGACCTAAGTCTGTGCCCAACCCCCAACCCCCAAGCCATTTCCCCTGTGCCTGTCCCTCTACCCACCAGTGCCCTTTCCTCTACACTACCCCCAGTGGTGACCCGTGAAGATCCGGGGTAGAATTGATCTTCAGTAACCCATGCTTGTCGTAAGAGGCAATTAACGGGATCGGGTGGTCAGGCTCGCTGACTTGGTTGACACATGTCATCATATTCCAATTGCATATATCGATGCTCATGCGACTGATCACTGGATTGTCTGTTCCAGACTTGATTGTTTACAGACCACTGCCATGTAGCTGGAATATTGCCGAGAGCGGCGTAAAACTAAACTCACCCCCAGTGCCTCACTCACCCCTCATGATAAAAGACCATTCCCTGGCATGATTAAGATGACATATCCACACGTATGACATGCTTGTTGTGTGTAGGAGTGTTGCTGGCTATGTTGTATTCTGTGTGTTTATGTAGGAGTGTTGCTGGCTATGTTGTATTCTGTGTGTTTATAATGGAGCTCACAGGGAACAGATGGTCTGTTAAGGTTTTGTGTGACCAAGTGACATGTTTATTAAAGCATTTCCCTTCTCGTGAAAACCTCACTATATTTCCCATCAGCACAAATGACAGGGTACTGATAAGATAAGGATCAGATTGAAATTTGTCAAATATATGCTGCATACAATTAACTTTTTGGAATTTGTGAAAAAGTGGAATATTGTGAGAATGATATTATTGATATTATGGATGTGTTACAGGGTGTTATCACTGTTTGAAGGATTATCTATAATTTAGTTCTCGGACATATTTGATGATAAAAGTGTATAAATACTGCTGTACTGTTATTCAAGATATCAGCTGTTTTCATGCTTTAGTTAAGTGTTCACATGTAAAGAAATGTTTTGAAGTAGGATATTTTTTCTGAAATCGATAAAAAATCATGCAGTGACATACCCTTGTTTATGGTAGAGTCTGAGACGGACCTGCAAGGATTTCCTGTCATCCTGCAGTGATGTAAGTGAAATACTGTATACAGCTGTATAAAATACATTCCCTTTCAAGTTTAACATTGTGGGACATTGAGTAGTGTATGCAAGGTTCAGAAAATACTGAATTAGTGTTTAGTTTTAGAATTAGAATTAGTGTTCCAATGTAGAAACTGTTGCATGTGTTCCAGGTCAAAGTGTTATCTCTCAGTTGTCTTTAGCAGACCAATTGTTGCTATGGATACCAGAAAGCACTTGTCTGTGTGTAAGTGGTTTTGCTGTGCCATTTGCCAGAAATGGTTTCATTCACATGTTTGCAATATGCAATTGTAAAATGAAAAATAAACATATGTGAAACTTTTAAATTAATTTTGTTGTATTTGTTTAACAAGCTTTTGATTCACCTAGCTGTTCATGCCCCTCCCTTGCATTCTAAAATCTAAATTATATTCTATTGCAACTCTTTCTAATTCTTCTTAATACTGTCGGAGATCAGCCAGAATATCAGATGCTTTTAAGATTATGTGAAATATACATTACTTTTTCAAAATGATGAATCGGAGTCAAATATATATTTCAGGCTGGTGATAGATACAAGTGTCTAGGATTGTCTCAAACTGGGCCAGGAACACTGATGCAGGCTTGTCAGTTGAAGGTTCACAAGGCAACCCTTCTCTTTGGATGTGAATCTGAGATGGAATCAGCTCCCAGCAAGGGGGTTGGTTGGGTTTGCTGTCTATAAGGCTGCACTCCGCAATATTCCTGCTATATAGGGGCGGTCTGTAAATAATCAAATCTGGTTCAGATAAAATCACAATCCAGTCATCAACAGAATGAACATCGATCTATCAGTTGGGATACCATGACATGTGTCAACCAATTCAGCAGCCTGACCACTCGATCCTGTTAGTCGCCTCTTACAACAAGCATGGGGTACTGAAGAACATTTTTTTTAACCCAGATCTTCATGGGAGTAGTTGGTCCGGCTGGTTGAGTGAGGGTCCTCAGATCCCATATACAAT